ACTACTAACAGTAGTCAAATTGGTACATTTGTACAGTCCTCCCCAATGGCTGCACACTGAGGAACTACAACCTCATTCCCACTATGGGCATTACTGTTCAAATATAGCACTCATAGGGATTTGTCTCTGACTGGTCCAGACAATTCAGATCACATAACTATAAGCCTGTGAAGCAGGTCTTAGAAACCTGTATTATTTCTATGAGAAGCATTACTGAAAAAAAAATGACTTCACTCCAGATTTATAAGGGGCACAAAAGATCGTTGGTAGGGGTATAAGTGGGAGGAATGAATGAAATAAAGAGAGTACTGGGAATTGGAGTAGGGATCTGGTCAATGTTCAATTAATTAAGCTAATTCAATTGGAGTTGTAGTTAAAAGAAAGTAAACATAAGAAAGGATATCCAGAAAATATCACTCAACATCCCAAACATCCTGTTCTTAACTGTAATAAATTTCTTGATCTGGCCTATTTGAGCAGTGACAACTTACTAAAAAAAAGTAATCTTATACAATTTAGAGTTATAATAAGCAGAGCTCCTCCTAAATGACTTTTTTGGTTTTTTTGTTTGTTTTGGACTCTCAGGGATTACTCCTGGCTCTGTGCTCAGGGGACCATATGTGATACCAGGGATCAACCCAGGTAGGCTATGTGGTCTATCCACTGTACTGTCACTCTGACCCAGAACTCCTATTAAATGGGGGGGGTGGGGGGCTGGAAGTGGAGGGGAAGACCTACCAATAATACAAATAGTATCTTCATTTTGCCTCTTCAAAGAAAACAATTTTTTTGTTAATTCCAAAAGTTTAGTTCTGTAAAAGTATGGGTGATCACAAAGATACATAAGTGAACAATGAAAGGAAACAGACGATGGAAAGCACTGACATTCTGCCCCCACCGGAGTCCTCCAGGGGAAAGTGGATGTGGCCAGGGGCAGGAAGGATGAGACAGACAAGGGTGCCACAGCAATGTTGGGGAGGGAGTCACGGGCACTTTTCTGGTGGTAGAGTCGCAGTAGCTTTGTGGGCCAAAGCAGAATATGAACACTATATTAAACCAAGTCATCTCACTAATAAAAAATGTGTAAGGGAAATTCTTCCTTTTCACAATAAAGTGAATCTGATTAGCTTCATGCTTTGATGCACTATCTCTTTTTGGAAAATAAAAGTATATATAGTTCATTCTTCCACAAAATACATTTGTACTGCATAAGGTTCAATTTGTCTACCCAAATAAATTTTGTTGAATGTAAAGCTTTTTTTTTTTTCAGAAAAGAAATATGCATACATATATGTAGCCGAGTTTGATTCCTCCGCCCTTCTCAGAAAGCCTGGCAAGCTACCGAGAGTATCTCGCCCGCACGACAAAGCTTGGCAGGCTACCCGCGATATATTCAATATGTCAAACACAGTAACAAGTCTCACGATGGAGACGTTATGTCAAACACAGTAACAAGTCTCACATGGAGACGTTATGTCAAACACAGTAACAAGTCTCACGATGGAGACGTTACTGGGTCCGCTCGAGCAAATTGATGAACAACGGGAGGACCGTGACCGTGATATGTAGCCAAACTCTCCACACAATGAACACATGTTCTAAAAGATTCATGCAGAATAAAGGTTTCTGAGCAGTTGGAAAAGCAACTGAGATATAGCAGCTTTTCCCACACTGATACTCTGGAAATATAGTGCTCACTTCAGCAATTTACAGGGCTGGAGCAATAGTACAGTGAGCAGGGCACTTGCCTTTTCCATGGCCAAAGAGGTTTGATCCCTGGAATCCCCAGATCCCTACCAGGAGTAATTCCTGAGTGTACAGCACCTCTGAGCAGACTGGGTGTGGTCCAAAAACAAATAAAAAGAAAAAAAAAAACACCACCAACAACCCCCCACCAGTTTATTAATTGTAACAAAAGGTATATTTTTCTACTGAAAATCATACTCTATTTTTTAAGATATGGAAAATAATTATTTTTAAATGGTAAAAAATGTGATTAGGAAAACAAAATACCATTTGTCCATATAGTGATAATCGTATCCAACAATTATTTTCCCCCCAATTTAAATGCCCTGATTTACAAAGTTGTTCATGATTTTTTACAGGCATTCAATATTGCAACACCAATCCCACCCTCACTGTCACCTTCCCTCCACCTTCTCTAAGTTCCCAACCACCCTTCAAGCCTGCCCCCACAGCAGGCCCACAGTCATTTATTTCATATTGCTTGTTAATACAGATTGGCTGATGGAATGATGAAATAATACTTCAATAAAAGAAAATTGGTGAAAACTTTCTGACTGGGTATCTGAGAAATTTTTGCAGCTTGTTGATAGACCTCTTTTGAGATTTATTGATGAGTCTCTGGAGCAGGGCTGATAGATGAGCTTACATGGTGGCAGCAAAGGGACGTGGGTGCAGGTGATGGGAGTCTAGAAGTACGGGATGTGGGGGGAGATCACCCATCCTGAATCCAAGAAGGCCCAGAGATTTAAGCTAAAAACCCCAGTGAATCTGAAATTTTGGTTAGGTGAATATTTCTGTGGAGCTTAGTTGTGAGAAGGTGGAGTACGCCCAGACAGCAGTTGGTGGCATATGTTGGGGTGTGAGTGTGGCTGCTGGGTGGTGTAGAACCTCCAAAGCACCTTCCTTTTACTGTTAACATTTCTAGGACTCACAACTGGCCATACAATCTCTGTTTTACAATGTTCTGATTTCCTACTACCTTCCTGGTAAGATTACATGTCACTGGGGGGCAGTTGGTAGGTGTGATCCCCGTCTACTGGAAGATGGAGGATCTGGGTGGAGGATGCTCATCCCCGATCCAAGCAGGCTTGGAGATCTCAGCCCAGAGACTATAAAAGCCAGCTCCCAGAAGCACGCGGTTGCATTTGCTGCCACGCAACATCTTATTATCTCATTCTTTCTTTGGAAAACCTGGCAGGCTACCAAGTGTAACCGGCCCACACGGCAGAGTCTGGCAAACTCCCCGTGGCGTACCCAATATGCCAAATACCAGTAACAATGATTGGTCTCATTCTCCTAACCCTGAAAGAGTCTTGAATGTGGCACTTCTTAGAATCTCAGGGCTAGGACGAAGGAGACGTTACTGGTGCCTGCTCGAGGCAATCGACGAACAACAGGATGATCGTGATCGTGATCATGATCCTGGTAAAAATTTCTATAACCACATACTTTCCTATCCACCCTAAAAATCCCAAGCTCAGCACCAAGCTAAGTGCCTACAGTTCTCTGAATATATCTTTCTCACCACCAAGCTTGTACATGCTCTCACTACTAAAGCAAACAAAAACCCCAAACCCGCTATCCCAGCTTCTATTCATTGTTCAGAACTCAACACAGGAGTGTTCCCCAAGAAAACATCTCCAGGGCCTGCAGTCTGAGCAGGGGTCCCTCTCCAAGCCTGTCACAGCAGGCACAGTTCTACCTAGAGCCCAAGCACGCTACCTGGGAAAGGTCTTGTTACCAGCATGCAAGTTCCCCGAAGAGAAGGATTTAACTTAACTTTCCTGTGAAATAAGGGAACCTCACAGAAGAAAATACAAGCCCAGAAATTTCAAAGAGGCTAATAAAATCATGACTACAATGAAGCAAATTAACCTGGTCAACCTAAAAAACACCATTAGATGGCCTATTTCGATACTTAACAAGCTCCCTTATACAAAAGCACATCCTAAATAATCATTAAGATAATGAATATTCAGCAGAATTTTTTTTAAATGAAACACCATGAGATACAGTTGTAGACTTACAAGTTTTTGTGCTTGAGTTTCAGTTATACAATGATCGGGTACCCATTCCCCCACCAGTGCCCATTTTCCACACCTACCAATCGCAGTATCCCTCACACCCCCCACCCCCATCCCACCCTGCCTCTGTGGCAGGGCACTCCCTTTTGTTCTCTCCTTTTGCAGCAGAAAAATTTTTTAAAAATCAAAGACTACATCTGTAATTCTATTCCAGTCATTTGTCCATACCTCTCCTTCACTATTTTATTCAGTTCCTATCTTCATTGCTTTATTTCAGTTTACCTTACACTTAAAATTTTCATTCTTCTGTTATCCAATCCCTTTTCCTTCTGATGTTCCTTCTAATCTACTTTCAATATGACTTGTTAAATTGCATTTTATAGCATTTTTATAAATGCAAATACTGCCTCCGTCATCACTGTCAGCCACTGTATATAAAACAAAGGAAACAGTGAAGGCAGTAAATGGAATGATATCACCAGTCAAACTGATACCCAGAACCATATGCCTTTGTCTGGGTGGGTGACTTCCTAACATGACGCAGCTAATCTGGACCATATGCACACTTGGAGAGTGGCACAGGCAAGCGAGTGTGTGGGGTGACTGCCGCAAAGCAGCCAGAGGAGCTGATGAGAACAGTCAAGGTGCTGGTGCTGCAGGCAGCCACAGCCCGCTTCAAGGCACAGGCAGCCAGAGCCCACTATTCAGGAGGAAGCAAAGGCAGCATGAGGACGTGCGCAGGAAGTGTTAGCTCTCTGGTCCAGCAAGGTGCGTAACAGACCCGACTGTGGGAACAGTGGCCAACTAGCACCAGGTGCTGATCTGAGCACACTAGCCAAGGCCACAATTTCAGGACACATGCTATAGACGGCTGTTCTGAGAGTATTTCTGAACATCAGTTTGAAAGAACAGATTCTGGAAGAGTCTGCCGTGTGTGTGTGTGTGTGTGTGTGTGTGTGTGTGTGTGTGTGCGCGTGCATGCGTGTATGCATGTCTGTGTGTGTGAGGTGTATAAGGCATGGGAAAATTCATCCTGAGAATTGGTATCTTGCAGAATCCACAAACAAAAACGCAATCGACCCTGCAGAGCTCTGAGCTCAGAAAAAAAATGGAACAGTGATTGGTCTTTGAGTTTCTTTGAAGAAACTTCTAAAACTTCATAGAATGAGAGTGTCAAAGCAACAGCTTTAATTTAACTTAAAATAACATAGTCCAGATTTACTTTCTTACCCGTGCCCAGGAGTTAAGCTTTGATTCTGCAGAATTCAGTGGTTCTTTATTAATCAGAGAACACAAACACCATATTAGAATTTTTTGGCTTTCATCTGTCAAAAGAAATAGATAGATAAATAAATAAATAAAGTAACCTAAAATGAGTACATTTTATCAGGTACTATAAGCATTTTAAATATTTTACTGAAATAATAAAAGTTTACTGTATTTTATGAAAATCTATAAATAAAACTTAACTTCATAAGGAGCTGACCAGGGTTCAACCCCCAGAAACATGTACAGTCTCCCGAGTACTTCCAGGAGTGATTTCTGATTGCTGAAGCCCTGAGTACCACTGATACCAACCTCCCCCAACCCCCAACCCCCAAAATAACAACAACAATAATAATAGGGGCTAGAGAGACAGTACCTCCTGGTAAAGTGCTTGCCTTGACTGTGGTCAACTCCGGTAGATCCCTAGCACTATATATGGTCTCCTGAGCACCTCAAGGGGTCTCTCCTGAGCACAGAGCCAGGAATAGCTCCTGTGCACCAGAGATATGGCCCATTCACCACCAAATAAAATATCTTAAAATTCTTTTTATCACTGATTTATAATTTTATGGAATGTCAGTTTAGCTTTAATTATGTATGTGTGTGGAGGTGTTGGAAAAGATTATTCATGACTTCTACTCAGATCTCTTTAATAGCCACATCCACTTGCCCACATACCACATACCACATGATGGATATGTCGTTCCCAATGTTCTCCCTTCCGAAATCCAACATGCCATCTCGTCGGTAAAGAAACAAAAAGCACCTGGCCCAGACAAGATCAGACCTGAACACCTGAAGAACTTACCATCAGTACTCATCAATACATTGGCTCGACTCTTCACACGCTACCTGTCTGAATGCAAGGTTCCATCCCAATGGAAAACCAGCAAGACTGTACTACTATACAAGAAAGGAGACATCCACGACATTGGCAACTATCGCCCAATCTGCCTATTGTCTGTCATCTACAAACTATTCACTCGAGTCATCCCGAATAGGATTAGCAGAACACTAGATGAAGGACAACCATGTGAACAAGCTGGATTCCGAAAAGGATTCAGTACCATTGACCATATCCACACAATAACCAAGCTCATTGAGGTATCTCGGGAGTTCAAGATGCCGCTCTGTCTAACGTTCATTGATTTAAAGAAGGCCTTTGATTCTGTTGAGACGGAAGCGGTCATGGAAGCCCTAGCCAATCAGGGCGTACAAACTCAATACATCAGGATCCTTCGTGAGCTCTATTGCGGATTCACTACCAAGATCTCACCATTCTACAAAGAAGTAATCATCCATATCAAGAGAGGGGTTCGGCAGGGTGATACCATTTCACCAAAACTCTTCAGTGCCACCCTCGAGAACATCATGCGACGACTAGAATGGGAAAACATGGGAGTGAAGATAGATGGTCGGCAACTACACCACCTCCGCTTTGCTGATGACATCGTTCTAATAACACCAAACATCAGCCAAGCGGCACAAATGCTGGCGGACTTTGACCGTGAGTGTGGAAAGGTAGGACTACAGCTGAATCTTACGAAGACAATGTTTATGAGAAACAGCCTTGTTCCTGATGCTCCATTCGCTCTCAACGGAACCACCATCTCCGAATGCAACAGTTATATATACCTAGGTCGAGAAATCAACATGATGAATGACCTGGCACCTGAGTTGCGCAGGAGGAAGAGAGCGGCTTGGAATGCCTTCAAGAGCATTGAAGAAATAACTAAAAGGACAAAGAACCTCCAGCTACGAGCACATCTCTTTGATTCCACTATTCTTCCTGCATTAACATATGCCTCAGAGACCTAGACCCTACGAAAACAGGATGAGAACGCTATTCGGGTCTCTCAAAGAGGAATCGAAAGAACTATGCTTGGAATATCACGATTCACTCAAATGAGAGATAGAATCCGGAGTTCTGATCTTCGTCAACGCTCAAGAATCAGGGACGCTGTCTCATTTGCCAAGACTCAAAAATCAGATGGGCTGGACACGTAATGAGGTTTACAGACAACCGCTGGACTAGAGCCATTACTGATTGGATTCCACGAGACATCAAAAGATCACGTGGACGCCCACCTATAAGATGGTCAGACTTCTTCGTCAAGACCCTAAATGATCAGTTTGAGGCTCTACATGTTCCTAAAACGAACAGATACCATTGGGCTACGCTAGCACGCAACCGGGATGAATGGAGACGTTACTGGCACCCGCTCGAATAAATCGATGAATAACGGGGATTAAGTGATTAAGTGATTAAGTGGAGGTGTTACCAACTCCACAATTTCAAAAAACAAACAAAAAGAGCTCTCTATCTTTTTCTCGTACTTGGGGATATAAAGAGACATAGTAAGGGAACAACAAATGGCCAAAGTCATGGTAACTGGAGATTTGTCTGCAGAATCGAGCATTCAGGGGAGAGTGGCTGGAGGGGCCCTGGGCACTGGTGGGGGAAAAATAGGTTCTCAGGGATGGAATGATGTAGGCATGACAAGGACAGTTAATAGTCCTATAAATCCTAGGACTGCAATAAAAATTGTAAGAAAACACATGAGGAGAAACAAAAACATAACACATATAGATAACAATATTCCTGATTTTATCTTTAAATTTTATGATTTGTCAAAATACTCTTACTTTGTTAAATATGAATTCAATAGAAAAAACATTCTATTCAGTATCAAATGTTCTGCTAAAATAGATACAATGGAAGTCTTTTTCATGCTCCAAACTCTTTAATCTAAAATGTAAAGCTTTACCAAATTTAAGATTAAAATGCTGAACTACAAAAAATTTTATTTGGCAGGAACATCTACCTGGTGAGTCATTTTCAGTGTCCCCTTTGTAACAGAATCTAATGAGATTTTGTAACATTTGAGAAGCAAAAATGAGGCCTGAAAACTGAAGGTGTCAGAGGACTGAGGGCTAGTAAAAGGGTGAAGGTGCAGGCCTTAAGGCAGCTCACTGCATTTTGACCCTTAGCACCACATGGCCCCAAGATTACAAGGGCCTAGGTTATGCCCCGCATTGAACCAACTCATAGAATCACTGGTCCAGTTGACCAAGAACCACGAGGAGTGATCCATGGTCCTCTAAAACATCGCTATTGGGCCAAATAAAATTAAGTAAATTTAAAATTTTAAAATAAATTTAAAATTTAAAAATAACTTTAGAATTTATTTCCACATTAAAAATAAAATAGAATAAATAAAATCCTAAAGATAGTAATAGCAGTCCATGGCCTAGAGTCAACAAATCATGAACTTTCCCTTAAGACTCTGGAGGTGGAGTCAAGGAACAGGAAGTGCCTGACACCATCTGCCTTCAGTCTAGCAGTCGCATAAACACATTTCTAAAGTTTCCATTAAAAAGAAATAAGGAAAACACAAAAACATAGTAAGAGTCCTGTGTCTAGTCAATTGCATACCAAAGCTATGCAATTAAATTAACTCACTGTGAGTTACACAGTTACAAAGTTGTTCTTCATTTGGTTTCAGTGTACACTGTCCCCACACCCTTCCCTTCCCCTGTGTACATTTCCCACTACCAGTGTCCCCAGGTTCCCTCCTGCCACCTCATCCCCGCAGTCTGCCTATATGGCACTCACTTTTCTTCACTCTCTCCCTCTCTCCCTCTCTCTCTCATTCTCTAGTTTTCTCTCTCTCCCCCTCTCTCTCATTTTCCAGTTCTCTCTCTCTCTCTCTCTCTCTCTCTCTCTCTCTCTCTCTCTTTTCTTTTGGGCATTATGGTTTCCAATACAGATACTGAAAGGTTATCATGTATCTACTTTTACCTACTTTTGCACTCAACTCTTGTCTACAGCACGATCGATTACTTTTAAAATCTACTTTCCTCCACAAACTTATGCCTCCTAATATATAAACTCTAAACAAACTTTGTCTGGAGTTATTTTAAGTTCCATTCTTTTTATCCCCCAAATCTGTAAAAATTCAAATACATTACTGGTTTGTATGAGATCAGTTTATTTGAAGAATCATAGTTTAACCTCTGGAGATTCCTGTCACTTGGTTCAACCTGTCTTCAAGTTAAATGAATGCCTCTGATAGTAAATGCGATGATCCTGCTTCCTTTGCCTTAAATATTGGGGTAAAAAATCCCAACTATGGTCATGATACAAGTGATGGTATATTCGTGTAAACAATTTCTTTAATCTAATGATGTGTTTATGTAAGCAACTCCCTATGTTAAAGAATTGAACCTAATGGGGAACATTTCCAAAAATCGGACACTAGCTATTAAAATCAGAGAGGAAAGAAACAGGAAATGTTCATTTGTAAAACTTAAAACCTGCTTAAAACTGAAAGAATTTCCCCTAGGTGTTTTATGATTGTGGAGAGTTTTTTTTCCTTTGGAGGCAGAAGCAACAGTATTGCAGGTAGGACATACGCCTTGCTCAGGGCTGACCTCTAGAGTCCCCTGAGCAGCACCAGTAATGACCTCTGAGTACAGTCAGGAGTAAGCCCTGGGGTCAACCAGGTGTGGGCCCAAAACAAATTAAATTAAAGCCAGAGAAAGAAACATTCACTTATTCATTTATTTGGTTTTGGGGCAACACCCAGCGGAGCGCAAGGCTAAGGAAAGTGATGGGCACAGACGGGGTTATGGAGGTGGGAGCTGGGTCAGCACACGGAAGGCAAGCCCCCTGCCCTCTCACAATCTCTCTGCCTCACTCTCAGCAGTGTTCCTGTAAAGAAATAGACTGAAATACATCGTTGAGGAGTTGCTCTGTTAGAAATCCACAGGCGCAGGCCTCAACGCTCCTGTGGAGAGCCACCAGCACTATCTGAGCCGCATCCCTCTTTTCCCTCCCTGGAGGGGTGGCTCAGTTTCTTGGGGTGTTGTTTTTTTTTTTTTTTTGCTTTTTGGGTCACACCTGGTGATGCTCAGGGGTTACTCCTGGCTCTGTACTCAGAATTACTCCTGGCGGTGCTCAGGGCACCATGCGGGATGCTTGATATTGAACCCGAGTCGGTGTGTGCAAGGCAAATTCCCTCCTCACTGTGCTATTGCTCTGGCCCCTGTGGCTCAG